GCGTGCGTGCGTGCGTGCGTGCGTGCGTGCGTGCGTGCGTGCGTGCGTGCGTGCGTGCGTGCGTGCGTGCGTGCGTGCGTGCGTGCGTGTGTGTGTGTGTGTGTGTGTGTGTGTGTGTGTGTGTGTGCGTGGGTGTGTGTGGGTGTGCGTGCGTGCGTGCGTGCGTGCGTGCGTGCGTGCGTGTGTGCGTGCGTGCGTGAGTGCGTGCGTGCGTGCGTGCGTGCGTGCGTGCGTGCGTGCGTGCGTGCGTGCGTGCGTGCGTGCGTGCGTGCGTGGTGCGTGCGTGGGTGCGTGCGTGCGTGCGTGCGTGCGTGCGTGCGTGCGTGCGTGCGTGCGTGCGTGCGTGCGTGCGTGCGTGCGTGCGTGCGTGCGTGCGTGCGTGCGTGCGTGCGTGCGTGCGTGCGTGCGTGCGTGCGTGCGTGCGTGCGTGCGTGCGTGCGTGCGTGCGTGCGTGCGTGCGTGCGTGCGTGCGTGCGTGCGTGCGTGCGTGCGTGCGTGCGTGCGTGCGTGTGTGTGTGCGTGCGTGCGTGCGTGCGTGCGTGCGTGCGTGCGTGCGTGCGTGTGTGTGTGTGTGTGTGTGTGTGCGTGCGTGTGTGCGTGCGTGCGTGCGTGGGTGCGTGCGTGCGTGTGTGTGTGTGTGTCGAAGTCGTGCCCCAAACGCTCTCCGGTGCAGAAAGCTGCGCGCTCGTCTGCTCCTTGGCCCCCGCATGTCCAGTCGGAAGCGTGACCGCGCCAGAGTGCCTTCGGTTCGCTGGGTGGGAGCGCGTTGATTATGGTTATTCACGTTGTGATTGCTATTCTTGTTATTACTATATGAGAAGGAGGAGGAGGAGGAGGAGGAGGAGGAGGACGAGGACGAGGAGGAGGAGGAGAGGACGGAGGAGGAGGAGGAGGGAGGAGGAAGGAGGAAGAAGGAAGGAGGAGGAGGAGGATGAGGAGAAGGAGTTTCGATTGTGCCAAGATCAATTGTATTATCCGCTTGGGCTTCGAGTTTTTTTCAGGCGGCCCCACCCCCTGCGCCCAGCTGCGAACATCGCCCCCTCTTCCCGAGGCCACAGTCCCTCGCAAAATACGGCAGGCTCGCGCTCCCAAAGCCCAGATGCCTCCAAGACGGCCCAATATTGCTCCAAGACGGGCCACGTTGGCCTCAGGCCAGCCCAAGATTGCTTTCACGACGGCCCACGAGGCCTTCGAGGCGTCCCAGGAGAGTCCGAAGAGCCTCCCCCAGAGGGCCTCTAGAGGCAAACATCATGGATGGTCCTTCACTGGTTTTAATGTGTTTCGGGTTCTCGACCCTTCGAGCTTCCCACGTCCCAAGTCGGCCCAAGAGGCCACAAGGGCTTTCACGAGAAGGCTCAAGAGGCCCCCAGGCCCCCAGGAGGGCCCCACCTAAGAGGGCTCCAAGACGATCCAAGGGGCGCCCAAGAATGCCCAACAGTGCGCCAAGAAGGGCACAAGAGGGTGCACACGAATGGACAATTCTAGCCTTCCGTCCCAAGAGGGCTCAGGAGGCCCCAAGAAGGCCAAAGGAAGCTCCTAAGAAGACCCAACGAGGGCCCCGAGAGGCAACCACCTTTCGTTGACTTTCCATAATTAGCGTCCTCAATGTTATGAGGATGTCGCCATTTCGAGCTCCCGACGCTCCAAGACGGCAGAAGACGGCCAAAGAGCGCTCCATGACGGCCCAAGAGGCCCCCAAGACTGCCCAAGGGGCCCCAAGACGGCCTCGGGAAGGGCCCAAAAGTGGGAAAATGAACCAAATATCCCAGCCGTCTGCCCCAAGAGGCCCTCGGCTGACCCCCCTTGCCTGCTCTGATAGATATCGCTCAGAATGCTGCGCTGGCACGGTGACGAAACTGCCGGAGGCAGCTGGACATCAATGGGAGGGGCCCCCTCTCTCTGACCACGTCGACATGGCAAGCCCGAAGCAGATCACGCTCCCATGCGTACGATGCCCTGCTGCCTGTAACGCTCACGGCCTACTTGACGGGGCCCAGGAGAGCACAAGCAGATAGACACAAGTCCCAGGATCCCCGACGTGCTCCTAGATGATCTGGACTCTGGTCGCCTTCCCCCACACTTCCCACAGGTTCCACGTTTTCTTCCTGGGGATCGACGATCCTTTGTGTCTGTGGTGTTGTCCCTCCTGACTTGCTTTACGTCGGGCCTGTCCCCCTACAGGCGGACTTGGGACGAAACATGAAAACACACCCAAAATACTCCAAAATGGTCAAACATAGTCAAACACATCGTCCCCAGACTATTTTTGTTGTACCATGTGTCAATACTCCTCCTGTTGAGGGACGGACCCGACTTAAGACTTGTTCTCCATGTTTCGCTCAGTACCTCGGGCTCGAGCTCTGGACGCCCGAAATGGGTAGAACAACATTGGCACAGTGCCCCACAAATGTTATCCCAAACCAACAGCGGCCGCTGCTGGGCAGGCGGCCCTCTGTCTCAGATGGACACAGGCCGCGGCGGCGCGGACAGCGAGTCCTGTCCAAAATGAACCAGGAACTGCTGTTGGGCATCGTAGAGTCGGCCCGGATTAGTAGGTCGACCCTGCCAGCTCAAGGGTATCTTTGTGTCGTGTGCCTCGCGGCACGTGCCTTCTTACACTCCAGTGGCGATGTGGCCCTCGGAAGGGTTTTGTGTTCTCTCGCGTGTCTTGTCCAATGTTGTCCGACTGTACTCCAGATTTCGTAATAAAAGGGAGGGGGTCTGGACCCTCCAAGACAAGCCATTTCAGACCTCCCCCGTGGGAGAACCCTCCAAAACATCGTCCCCAGACCCCCCCAGGCCCTCCAAGATAGCCTGGAACTGCTGTTGGGCATCGTACCCATTCTTTCCGTACCCACTTCGTCCGTGCCGAGAGCAGCAGCCCTGCACCGAACTGCGGCCCGGCGCACGGGGGGCGTGCCCCGGGCGGGCACACAGGGCCGGGCACGGGGCGACGGCCCCGGCAGAGCACGCAGACTGCTCGGAAGCGGAGCAGGGGCCCCTCGATTCAGGAGGGGAAAAAACACACAGACACAATCAATCGTCGATTTCCCAGATAATATGGGAACATATGGGAAGTGGGGGGAAGACAAAACCAAAGAAAATATGGAAAAGATGGGGAATTATGTTATTTGTGTGCATTTATTTGTGTGTCCCAGGGCCCCTTCATCGATGCCATGTTGCTCCCCTCCTACTGAAGGGCCACATCCCGGAAGTAATTGCGAGCACCCAGAAAAATCGGGGTCCACCAAGGAGGGAGGGGACCCTGAGGGGGGGGGAGTTCGATCCGCTGGTGCATCGAATTTCCGAAAAATGATGCCCCCCGCGCACCCCGATTGTCGACGCTTCTCCTGTTCCGATTCTGGCCAGAGACCTCGTTTTGCGTCGTTTTTCTGCGGTTTGATGCGCCAGCGGACCGAACTCATCCCCCCCCTGTGGCCCCTCCCTTTGCGAGGTCCCGAATGTTGCTCCCATCGTACTTGAGGGCCACATCCTAGAAGTATTTGCGAGCGCCCAGAAGAATGACCGAAACCAGTCTCGAACGAGTGTATCGCCTCCCAGGCCCCGACACGTGAGAGCCCCCAGGCTTCGGTACCTTCTTGGTGCTCGAAGTTCTTCCTGGCGACCAAGGCAAACGTGGGTTGGAACATCATAACCTCAGTGCGAGAAGTGCGTTGGGGAGATACGACGTGGCAGCAGGATCGTCGATCAGCAGGCACCGAGGCCCGCTTGCGGGAGCAATCAAGGCCCAACCGCTCCGAGGGTGCATCGAGGACCGAATGACATCAGCAGCAGCAGCCCCGCCGAACCACCCGCGTAGAATCAAGCCGCAAAGGACTCCAACCCCTGATCCTCTTCCTCCTCCTGACGCGCTGCGAGCGCGGGGCCGTCCGTGATGCTGTAGCTGAGGAGAATGCTGAAGCCGACCATGACCAGTATAAGGAAGGCAATAACACCGATGTTCATGGCCGCCTCGGGCCGAGGTCGTGGGAGGAAAACGTCTCCGCACTCATGGCCTCGCGGGCCGATCCCGGGGCAGCGACCCGGCGGAGGCGGCGCTTTTTGTTGTTCGCGGCTGCCCTGCGCAGAGAACGTATCCGTGCGACCACGTGTCCGCGGGATCGCGCCCCAGAATCTGGACCGCGAGGGCGCGCGTTTTCTCATTCGGCAACTCGACATTGGGCGGAGGGGGAGGGGAGGAGGGGGGGAAGTCTGGCTCCGGACCTCTGCTGAGTGCGACTGTTTGCAGCAGTGCGCGTCCTTTGTGGGAGGCTCCACCTGCTTGAGACAGGCGCAAAGAACAGCCAATGTCTACTCCATGGGGGGTCGGCGGTGGACAAGCCTCCCTTCAGTAAACCACCCTTTGGTGAATACGGCCCAGGACCGAAACCACCGCCCTGGACCAGCAGAAATGACGGCCGCGACGCCCTCTCGCGAACCGAAAGCGGCCAGTTCACCAATCGACGTGTCAGGGCAGGAGGTGCGTCAACCTCCGGGGGGGGAGGGGGGGGGGGCGGGCGAGGGCAAGCGCCCATCGGCAAAACGCGGACTCTGAACACGGGCCCTCTGCGCACGGCTGCGTCTGCCGCTGGGGCCGAGGGCAGGAGAGGGGCAAGCAGGGCACGCCCGCGGCGGGCTCGGGGGGTCGGCCAAGAGGGGGGCGTCCAAGAGAGGGGGGGGGGCGCAAATCATGGCGGGCGGCATGTGCGCGGCCCGAGGGTGTGGCCAGGAACGTAATGACATAAGAAGAGGCGGCATGAACTCTGATTGAATGTCATGTCCCGCGCAATGATATCCCCCCCTAGTCATCACCCCCCTCTTTGCCGCCCCCGCAGGTCGGGGAAGAACAAAACACGGTCGGGCATGTCCCCCTACAGGCAGATTTTGGACGACAAATAAAAAATAGTGGACCAAAACACAAAACACATACTCAAACATACTAATACCATTGTCCCACGACTATTTTTGTTACTATCTTTGAATATTCCTCGACATAAACATGAACTTTCGACGGTCCACGCGGATTTCTTGGATTTGCGCCAGTCCCCCCTCCCTGGCGCGTGGCGCGCGCCAGGGGCGGCGCTGGAGGCGCCGCCAGGGGGTCCCAGCGCGGATCCGAGAAATCCGCGCGGAGTGCCAAAATTTACGTCTGTGTGTTTTCGTTCCTCTTCGAGACGGGCGCAGGCGTTGATCAGGGACCGACCGTCCCGGCACTCCTATGGGCCTACCACGAAATATTCTTAGAACCCAGGAATGTTCGAATAACCAAAAAACCGGTCTCGGAACATAAACCCCGACGTGTCAAACAAGAATGCCCCATGCAGAACTGCTCCAAGAACATCTCGCGCAGACCACAACAAGTTCTCAGAACATTCTTTGGCAGGCGCGCCAGGACTCTTCGCCACTGCTTGACTGTGGGCACCGCGGGCCCCCCCCCGCCCCCGAAACTCTCCCTCGCCAACCCGTGCCAATCCTCGCGCCCGCTGGCCAGGCGGGTCTCTGTGCGCCGCGCCGCGCGGCCCGAAAGGAGCCGCGCGGGATCTCGAAACGCTTCGGCCGTCTGAGGGCGCCCTTCGCCTGTCGTGGGGCCCTCTCTGAGGTCTCGTGTGCCGTCTCGGAGGGGTCTTTCGGGTCGGGGGGGATAGCAAAGGGGGGAGTGAAAATCAGCTCGCGCAGCTGATTTTCCCGGCGCCTCCCGGCTCCCGGCGGCGGCTATGCATCGAGGAATGGGCCCCTCGGCGAGGCCGAAACCAGCTGCATGCAGCACATTTCGTAACCCCCCCTTTCCCAATGCCCCCCCTGTCGCCCGGCCCGAGTCTTGGGGCGCCTTAAGGCGGCGGAGCAGCCGCCGGAGACGGCGGCGCGAGGCGTCCGCGGCCCGGCGGCCCGGCGCGGCCCCTCGCGCGAGCGGGGCGAGCTGTCGCGGGCCGAGGGCGCGCCGCCGCTTCCGCGCGGCGCGGCAGGCGGAGCCCCCGGGAGCGTGGAGGAGGCTGGGGGCCGCACAGTACCAGCCTCGAACGTATCCCTATCCCTAAGATTGACACGCCAAAAGGCGATGACAATCTTAGGGATGCGCCCTCAAAAAACCAAGGGAATCCCTAAGATTGGCATCGTGACGAGGAGATGCCCAGCATAGGGAGAGGGATATGTTCCAGGCTGGTAAGCACAGGCAAACGTCGGTAAGTGATGGTAAACGGGCGAATCTCGAAATCGATGAGGGACAAAAACAACATCGCAAGCACCATCTGAGAGGAAGTTTCGCACAAGGCAGCGACGAAATAATCGATGCAGACTTTCAAGCTGGATTTCACACCCGGCCCAGGCCGGCCCACTCCATTGCTTCAAGCTTCCCGGTAAACACATGAAAAAGGAATACAGGCCTCCCATAGAATAACAGAGCACAGTAAAAGCCTATCGATCCGTGGAGCAGGAAGGCACCTGACTTGGGGGGGGGGGGTACGGCTTCCATATGAGTTTTTCCCATGTTCCCCGACCCCGCCCACTGGAAATGGAGGGCAAATTGAGGCCTTCGGGTTGGGCTGGGGTGGTTTGGTGGGTGGTGAGTAGACTGGGATCTGGGGACCCCGAAATACCTACTTTCAACGACCGGCGCGTCACCATGGAGCACATGCAATCGCGGACATGCCCCGAAAAATGTCCACCCTACCGCGCGCGGTGGCGGTGACGAGCACGGTCTCGTGGTGCCCTCCCGGTCCACGAGAGGAGGGCGGAGCGAGAGGGGGGAAAGAGGAAGGGCGGGGAAGAGAAGGCGAGAAGAAGAAAGAGGAAGGAAAAGGAAGGGAGAGGAGGAGAAGAGGAAGAAGAGAAAGCGAGAGGAAGAAGGAGGAGAAACAGCGGGAGCAAGAGCGAGGAGGGGGGACGAACGGGCAGCAGGCGGGAGGGCACCCCCGGGATGGTTCAGACGCCCCGCGCGCAGGGGCCCGGCGTCCGCAGCGTGGCGGCGACGGCCAGTGGACCCCGCCCCAGCCGAGGGCCTCCTCGGAGATCCCTCGACGCCCGCAGGCCGGCGTGGGGCGCACCCAAAAGAGACGGCCGAGGAGCGCCACCGTCAGGCCGGGCATGCCCTCCTGCAGGCGGAGCCTGGACGAAGAACGAAACGATCGCCCAAACAAAAATGCGCCAGGATAATCAGTCAGAAAGACATGCTGGAGAATCGTCCCCCGACCATGTATGATTTTGCATACAGTGGGGGCTCGGCCACAAGAAACCTCCGCAAAAAACCCAACCCTGAAATCCGCGATTTGTTCAGTAAAGCCCAAATTCGTCGATCGAAAGATCGTCAAGATCTCATTTGGGGCCCATCGAAATCTCAGAAACTCAAGGCACCCTGACAAAATCCAACTGGCTTCTTGGCACACGCCCCCACTGTACTTAAGTCGGGCCTGTCCCCCTGCAGGGGTTTTTCGACGAAAAATAAAAAATACTACAAAAATGCTCGAACATGGCCAAACAATACTCAACAAATAGTCCCCAGACTATGTTTGGACTATGTTTGGGCTATTTTTGGGGTATGTTTTATTTTTCGTCGACAACCCCTCCTGTAGGGGGACAGGCCCGACTTAACACTGGATTCCTCCTGTCGAGGCACAGGCCCCACTGCCAGCTGGCAGGGGCGCGCCCGGAGAAAAAAACCAGCCCCGGGGGCGCCATGGCTCCGCCGGGCGGGGGGAGAGGCCCTCCGCCCGAGAGGGCCCGCCGACGGGGGTTCTGGTGGACCCAAATACGAGGGATCGAACTCTATGCACCGACGCTTCTTCCCGCCCTGCGAGGAGGAGGAGGAGGAGGAGGACGAGCTGAAAGGGGGTGCAATAGATTTGCGTCCATGGTATTGGAAATGTCTTGCGCTCGAGACGTGTATTGCACTTTATCGCGACCACTGTACTGCACGCGAGAATCCAGCAATACACCTGCGCTCCTGAATCTATGCAGGCCCCAAATACATTGCAACTATTGCACCAAATCTATTGCACCACCCCCTTGTCGCTGGACCCCCTTTTGGGTCAACCGGAAGGGTGCGCGCCGCTCAAGATCGGTCCCCGGGCGCCTCCTGGGGTCCGTCTGGCGTTTCTTGCTCACCCGAGATCCGTTCCTCTGATCAGGGGAACGAGAAATGGCATAAACATAAAAACTGGGATCGGCGCTGGGGCCCCCTGGCGGCGCCTCCGGCGCCGCCCCTGGCGCGCTCCGCGCGCCAGGGAGGGGGGACTGGCGCAAGTCTAAGAAATCCGCGTGGACCGTCGAAAGTTCATGTTTATGTAGAAGGATATTCAAAGATAGTAACAGCAATAGTCGGGGGACGATGGTATCCGCGCTGCGCCCCCGCCCCTGGCGCGCTCCGCGAGCCAGGGAGGGGGGCCCAGCGCGGATCCAAGAGATCCGCGCGGACATCCGAGGTTTTATGCTTATGCCATTCTTCCTTTCCCTCCTGATGCCCCAGAGACCCCGGAGGGCCATTAGGACCCTCTCGAGCCCCGCACCCCGAGCCCCCCCCCCCCCTGCGCGCCTGCCAAGACCAGTGCTGGGCCTCCTCAGATCCCCAGCCGGCTCCAGCCGCCTAACAAACCATCGGGGACCTACCCGGGTCAATCCAGACCCGGGTCAGCCGGAAACCAAAAAACTGCAATGCAGGAACAAACAAATGTAACGCAGGTCTTCGCAAACCCAGGTCGGCCAATGTGCGCGGCCGCCGCGCGGCCACGAGCGGCTCGCTGAACCCGGGTCAGCCAGAAGGGAGCTTCGCAAGATCCTGCAGGATCCAGTGCCCTGGCTGACCCCCGTTTCCATTGACCCCCGTCTCTTCGGGCGTTCACTACGGGGGTAAGGAAGGTGCACCTTTCGTGCACCTTTCGTACCCCTTCGGGGCCCTATGGGGGCTCGTCTAGGGCCCCTCGAGGGCTCCTATCTATCGCCCCCCCATCACCGCACGTCCGATCTCTTGAGCCCCGAAGACGGCCGGGAGCGCGCTCGGCCGGGCTTGCGGCGCGCCCGGCGCCCCCTGCAGAGGGCCCTGCCTGAGGCCGGCGGCGAGCGAGGCGGCGAGCCGAGGGCCAGGCGGCGGCGAGAGAAGGCACACGTCGGGGATCTTCTGACCCGGGTCAATCCAGACCCGGGTCAGCAGGAAACCAAAAACTGCAATGCAGGAAAAAAAAACTGCAACGCAGGTCTTCGCAAACCCGGGTCAGCCAATATGCGCGGCCGCCTCGCGGCCACGAGCGGCTCGCTAACCTGGGTCAGCCAGAGGGGGTCTTCGCAGGATCCTGCAGGATTCGGTGCCCTGGCCGACCCCCGTTTGCATTGACCCCCGTCTCGAGGCTCCCGAACACGGGCACGCGTGCGGCATCTGGCCCTCGCCCAGCAAGGGCTCCCAACTTCGCGCTCTCGCGCTGCGCCAGGCGCGAAGTGCGAATGACTTCGCGCTCTCGCGCCGCCTCCCAGGGGAGAGGAGGCTGCGGAGGAATCGGAGCCGAACCGCGAAGCGCGAACAACTTCGCGCCCTCGAGGGCGCCCTTGCCCAGGGGCGTCATGCGTGGAAGGCTCGCTGGCAGGGGCAGTCGGCACCGAATCGGAAGATCGGATCGGATCGGAACGCGCGTCGGATCGGGCTGCGACGGCACCTGGTGGGAGTCGGATCGGATCGGCGGCGCCAGAATGCACGACAGCGCCATGCACACGTCGGGCTGCTTCGGATCGCCCGAGCATCGGAATCGAATCGGATCGGGCCGGCTGGGAGCGAAATCGAGTCGGATCGATCGGGTCGACATGACAAGAGCGGAGGGCTCGCAGGAGGCCGCCTCCATCTGGGCGACGGACGACATGTCGTAGAAGACCTGGGCGCGAGGAAGGCGAGGAAGGCCGCAGAGACGGCCCAAAGGAGGAGGAGGAGGAGGAGGAGGAGGGGGAGGAGGAGGAGGAGGAGGAGGAGGAGGAGGAGGGACGAGGAACGAGGAGGAGGAGGGGGAGGAGGAGGTGGGGAGGAGGAGGAGGAGGGGGAAGGGGGAAGGAGGAGAAGGAGGAGGAGGAGGAGGAGGGACGCGCAGGACGCACGGGGGGGGCGAGAGGGCGGCGATAGACTCTGGAGGGCCCGCGGGGGGCATCGGCGGCGCGCTCTGGCGGGGCGGGAGGAGGGAGGCCTCCGCGGGTCCTGCGCTGGACGAGCGGAGAGCGCGGCGGGGGGCAATGGGGGTGGGGGGAATGACAAGGAGAGTAGGAAGCAACTGCTGGAGGGTTTTGGTCGGAAGGATTAAAAAGTGAGCCCCATTGGGGGCTGTTACGCCCGAGTGGGCCTCGGGTTGAGCCGGCTTAACCGGGATCAAGCGGGACTAAGCCGGATTAGGCGGGCATGAACGGGATTACGCCGGATTTCGGACCAGGGCAAAATCAGAATTTGACCTCCCTGGAGTTGCACCCGAAAAGAGGGTACAGTCGGACTTGATTGGACAGGACACGCGAGAGGACACAAGACCCTTCCAAGGGCCACATCGCCACAGGAATGTCGGAGGCACGGGCCGCGAGACACAGGACACCAGGGTACCCTTGATTTGGCAGGGTCGACCTACTAACTATTATCGGGGCCGACTGTACGGTGAGGGCATTATTTTTCCCCACCTCGAGGGCGCAGCACACGCCCATGAGAAGAACTGCGAGACGACGCCGACGAAGACGACGACCCGCGGGGACGACGACGACGACGGCACGACGACGACGGCGGGAGCACGTGAGAACGGGGCTCCGAAACTCGAAAGCAAGTCACCCCCTCGTTCTGGATAAGGAATCCAGGGTCTGGAAGCTGGTGGAGCACCAATCGTGGATTGGCCATGGATCTCACTGCCGACCCCAAGGAATCCTCCAGGGTCTGAGGCCCCCTGGGCACACTCCTTCACGAGCGCCACCACCGTACGGATGACAACAAGGAGGGAACGGGGCCCAAAACGTCTCCGCCGGCGTCCCCTCGAAAAGCAGGAGCGCAGAGGGGGGGAGACGAAGAGGAAGGATCAGACGGAAGGAAGGATAAGAAACCCTCTGCCGAGGCCACTCTCCCAGGCTACCCTTGCATCCTTCCCCTTTCGGGGATGGACAGACCTCCCTTTAGTAAAACGTGGTTTAGTGAAAACGACCTGAGGCCCAAACCTGGCGGGCGCAAGCCTGGAAAATAACGGCCGCGGCGCCCTCTCGAGAACCGAAGACGGACAATTCACTAATCGACGTGTCACTGTCGGGGGTTCTGACCACCCCCGAAAGGAAGGATAAGAAACCCTCCGCCGAGGCCACTCTCCCAGGCTACCCTTGCATGCTCCCCCTTCGGCCCGTCCTTGGCCACCTTCGCCTGCCGCGCCCCGCTCGCAGGGTGTCGACATGGCCTTCCATGGCCCTTGCATCCTCACCGTGTGCCCTTACTGCACGGGTCGACTGCACAAGAAAGAGGCCCTGCGGCGGCAACTTCTGGCGGTCTCGAAGCGTACCCCACAACGAAAATGCTGCGAACCCCCTTCCTGGGGGGAGGCGGCTGGACGGCGCCGCCGCGGGATCCAGGGAAAAAGGTCCGGCTCCGACCCAGGAGATCCGCGCGGGCCCTCGAGGACGCGTGCCTGTGCCTCAGTTCCTCGCTCGTGCAGTCGGCCCTGGCCCCGACCCCCCCTTCCTTCTGCTTCTGGCGGCGCGCCCCCCGGGGGGAAGTGAGAGGGGGCGGGCCTTCTCAGGAGGCAGCGGGGCTTCTCAGAAGCCCTCGCGCACACTCTGAGAGGTCCTCCAAGCCTTCTCCGGAGACGCAAAATCTGTTCAGAAGGCGCGAGGTTTGAGCCCCGCCCGCCTCGGGGATGGACAGAACCCCCTTTAGTAAAGCGTGGTTTCGTGAAAACGACCTCGGGCCCAAACCTGGCGGGCGCGAGCCTGGAAATGGACGGCCGCGGCGCCCTCTCGAGAACCGAAAACGGACAACTCACTAACCGACGTGTCAGGGTGGGGGTTCTGCCCACCGCCGATTCTATGGGTGGACGGTGGTGACCTGGACAGAAAGGCGCAGAACCGAATCGATCCGTCGGATCGGCGATTGAATCCGATCGGCGGAACTCGGCAACCAACACGGGAGAAGTCGAATCGGCGGAGATCGGAAGGCTAGCACGGCTTGCCTTCCAACAGCGAGCTCCACCATCGAAATCCGAAGCCGAATCGCGTCGGCACAGGAACCGATCGAAACCGCCTCGAGCCGGGTCGGGGGAGGAGGAGGAGGAGGAGGAGGAGGAGGAGGAGGAGGAGGAGGAAGAGGGAGGAGGAGGAGGAGGGGGGAGGAGGAGGGAGGAGGATCGGCCCCGCTCTGTGCCCTGACGGCGGGGCGCGCGGCCTGGACGTCGCCGTCGACCATCTCCATGATGGAGGCCCTCCTGCGGGCCGGCGCGCGCACGACGCCCTCGCCCGCCCGGGCCCCAGAAAGGCACGGGTGCGCACGCGGGAGGGGCGGCGTCGTGTGTCCCTCCCCCGCCCCGAACTTGAGACGAGGGCAGGACGGGGACCAGATCGGACAGGGGCGAATCGGAGATCTCCGAGATCCGGCGGGTCCCGAGGATGTGTTCGGCGCCGCGGTCTTCTCAGCGCGTCATGCAACGCTCTGAGAGAGGTTCAGGAAGGCTCTGGAACGATGTTTCGCTGTTCTAGCCCGGCCAGGTCCCTCCCTCCCGCCCTCCCTCCCTCCAGATTACATTCTCTTCCGAGGGAAACGCAGGGCTCGATCGAAACAGTGTTTTTCGTTTTCGATTGATTTCGCTGTCTTCGTCATGTCTTCGTTCTGCCTTTGCTGCGAAACGAAATCAAAACGAAAACGGTCCACGCCATCGCCAAAACACAGGCCAGCTTGAGCCCTGGGGGAATGCAAGGGGGGGAGCAGCTCAGAAGGGGGGGAGCATCAACCTGGAATCGACGGTCGATATATCGACGATGGACCCCGACAGCGAATCCACATGTTCCTGGGCGCGGTGAGCTATCAAGACCCTATCGGCGGTCAATGGGCTTAGGAGGCAACAACTGGGAGGCCTTCGTCAGAAGGATTGAAGAGGGACTGATACGCTGGATTAAACCGCAGATTAAGCGGGACTAGGCCGGATTAAGCGGGATTAAGCAAGATTACGCGGGAACGAGCCGGATTAAACCGGATTTCGGGCCAGGGCAAAGTTAGAATTTGACCTCCCAAGATTTGCCTAAGAAATGGGCGACTGGGGGTCGGTGAACTCCCCCCTGAGTCTATTCCCCACCAACGTTGCTCCTGTTCGTTCTCTTCAGTGCCATCCCCCCGATCCGTCTCCCACACTACCTTCCCTCGTCATGCCGTCTGCCCGCGGCGCAAGTCCGTGGACTGCCCGCGACGCTGTGACCCAGCGCCAGCACTGTGCACAGACAGTGCGTGGGGAGACGAGGAGGGGAGGGAGAGGAGCGGCTCTGTATGAGGCCATAACGAATTATCGTTTCGCCTCCCCTTTCTCGTTCTGATTTCGGGCGAACGCTAACATGGATTACGGATCCGTGGATCCTGCGCGTGAGCGCCAGATGCACAAATCCCGAAAGTTCCCCACCAAACAATAAACCAACGCCGCCTGATTTAGCGGCGGGGCGCGTAGATGTCGTACGGATACGGGATCCGTGGCTGATCCAGCGCGCCAGAATCTGTGTTTGCGTTGCGCTCCCTCGATGATTGGAACAGGATGCTCCTCCTCCTCCTCCTGCTCCTCTTCCTCCCCTTCCTCACCTTCCGCCTCCCCCTCCCTAGACTTATTCGGCCTTGGGGTTCTCCCCGTCGCTTGCCAGTGGCAGAGTCTGACCCACCGCTCGTGTGCAAGAAATTTCCCTGTAATGAGAGCGCGCCCGAGGTTCTTGCTTCGTCTCCCTCTTTTTCCCTCTGTCTCACACTCTCTGTCTTCAATGACAGATTAGACCTTCGATGATGTCGAAAACGCTGGGTGCGTTTTGTCCGTTTTGCGACCCGTTTCTTCACTTGTTCAAGATCGACGTTTTTTTTCACTCTGCGCGGTCCGCTTTTTGCCGGTTCCGTTTCGTGCTGTCGATGTGTGTCATCTTTTGGGCTGTCGCTTCCGTTCGCCGAGAACCGAGAAGCTAGTGAGCGTTTTCTTATTCGGCGTTTGGACATTGGGCGGAGGGGGGGGGGAGGGGGGGAGTCTGGCTCCGGACCCTTGCTTTATGCGACTGTTTGTAACAACGTGTCCGACGGGGGAGGGACTCCACCTGCTCGAAACAGGCGCCAAAAACAGCCAAGATCTACTCCATGGAGGAGGGGGAGGGGGGGGTGCGAGGGCCCGCGCCGATCGGCAAAAACAATGAATCAGAAAACGATCACCATCTTTGGGGCTGCCACTTCTGTTTCCTCCGTTCTAGTTGGCGGAGAACCGAGAAGCTGAAAACGGAGAAACGAAACATCGGGAAGACGTAAGACTCGGGTAGGGGGGACTCCGGTTGGCCTGACAGGGCCATCATAAAAATGACGAGACCCAATCCGAAATTTGACGCGAGATCCCGCTGCAAACATCCGACGGAATCTGGACCGTCAAAAAATCCAGGACGCGCTCGTCAACGAGCGTCGGCGAACCCCAAGTTCTGGCTTACTCGAGTCTTACGTTTCCCCGATTCTGTCGGGGGCGCGCAAACATGGATTAGCGATCCATGGATTCGGCGCGCGCGGTCGCCAAATCCGTGGATCGGGGCAGGTGCCCTCCCCAAAATGCGGCCGCTGCCGCCTCGCTCGGCGGCGGGAATCCTGCTGACCCGGGTCAATCCAGTCCCGGGTCAGCAGGAAACGAAAAACTGCAATGCAGGAAAAATAACTGCAGCGCAGGTCTTCGCAAACCCGGCTCAGCCAATAGGCGCGGCCGCCTCGCGGCCACGAGCGGCTTGCTGACCCGGGTCAGCCAGGGGGGGTCTTCGCAGGATCCTGCAGGATCGGGTGCCCTGGCTGACCCCCGTTTGCATTGACCCCCCGTCTCGAGGCTCCCGATGAAAACGGAGACAGCCCAGAGAGCCCCCCGGCGCTCTCCACCCCGGCAGCGCAGCGCAGCTGCAGCGCAGCGGCACCTGCTGCAGCGGCCACCGCGCCGCGAGCCACCGAGCCAGCGGGGGGGGCAGGAACCATTCGGTCGGGCACGTCCCCCTTACAGGCGGATTCTGGACGACACCTCAAAAAATACCAAAGAAGTACCCCCAAATGGAAAAACAGCAAAAGAAACATCGTCCCCTGACTATTGTTTGACGATTTGAAGAAAAGGAAAAACTCCTGTAGAGGACAGGCCATACTTGAAGGAACCGCCACCCCCCAGCCCCCTCCTCTCCGAATGGGAGCCGAGCGGTGCAATGCTAGAGGCCTCCCAAATCGGGTCCGAGTTGGGGTCGAGGGAACACACCGCATCCACGATGCATCGGCGATGCATCGGCGACGTCGGCAAGAGGGCCCCAAATCGGCCCAGAGGCCCCCAAAACGGCTTCCGACGGCATCAGACAAGCAAGGAGCCCACCAAGACGGCCAAGGAGGCCCCCGATAGGCCCCCAAACCAAAGGCCCCCAAGAGGCCAAAGGAGGCCCCCAAGATGCCTCCAAGAGGCTCCCAGGAAGCTCCCAGGAGGCCCCAAGAGTGTCCCCATAGGCTCCCAAGATGCTCCCTCCTCCTCCTCCTCCTCCTCCTCCTCCTCCTCCTCCTCCTCCTCCTCCTCCTCCTCTACTTCCTCCTCCGCCTCCTCCTGTTCTTCCCCGCCATTCTCCCCCAAGCGTTCCCCGAAGGGTTTTCACAACGGTTGGGGAAACACACGGTCCGATCGCTTGGCGGAGCTCTTGCCACAACGCTCGGCCACATGGACGATTCTAGAAGGCAAAAGGCGGCGGTGATTCGCCGCAGGCGTCTTCGATCAGAACCGACGAAGACGCAGCACAAACACGGAACAACCAAACTGGAACCACGCGCGCGCTGCGCGCACGCTTGGGCTGTGGCCGACTCCGAAGACGCTGTCCATAGGCGTTACGTGGACCCCTGGAATGCCAGGGAAGAGGGCCCCAAGCGTAGCCTCCCTTTCCCCCCGCGAGGGTGCGGGGCCCCCTGGAAGGGTAGCGACCATAACCGGGAGGTCATCGGAGACTTAACTGCGGGCTTAAGCCGACCCGACCCCAGGGCAAGCGCCAGTCCGCGGAATACTCAACTCCGGAATTGAGTCGCCGCGAAGCTGGCGGACGCGACATTCTGGAAACGACTGAAACTCCGGCCTCTCATCGGCGGTGGACAGACCTCCTTGTAGTAAACCTCCCTGTAGTGAAAACGGCCCAGGACCAAAACCGACGGGCCTGGACCAGCAAAAATGACGGCCGCGACGCCCTGTCGCGAACCGAAAATGACAAATTCACTAATCGACGTGTCAGGGTAGGAGGTCGATCAACCTCCGATTAACTCGGGCCTCTAAAGCACAGCATGTTGCTCCCGTGGGGTGCAAACAGGACCGACAGGCCCAGGCGTGAGGGGGGCCCATAATACTGTACCGCCCCTGGGCCCCTGGGCCTTTTCAATAACCACATGTACATCCCGTGGGGTCCTACTATGCAAGAAATGGGACGCACAGAGACATACTAATACTATATGTCCTCCTTGGAGGAGAGCGTCCGACCCGACCACATAGCATATCCATCTTGTAGTAGATCGTCTCCCGAGCGGCGTGGCCAGAACGCGCCCGCCACAACGCATCCACTAGAAGGTTTCTCGGTGGACGCGTCGCCCCTTGGAGGGCGACGCGCATATAGTATAATTGTTTTGCGGTGACGCCGAAGGAAGACTGACCGGCCTGGGCCGTTACACGTCGGTCGGAAGAAGTAGGTAGAAGCATGAAGTAGGAAAGCGGATATAGTGGATTGGGTCCAGGTCCTCCCAGAGAATAACAAAACACAGCAAAAGCATGTCGGATCTTGAAGTAGGAAGGCGCTTGAAGTAGATTGGGATCTGGGAATCCAAAAAATACCTACGTTCAACGACCGGCGTGTATGCTGTACCACCTCGGGGCGTTCAGACCAAACAAACACACGTTGCTCCCGTGGGAGCCGAGTGCGCAGGAGGAAGAGGAGGAGGTCGAGGAGGGATCAGGGAGCAGGGAGGAGCGCGTCGCCGTTGCAGGTCCCCCGACGTCGCAGATCCCACGCCCCACTCGCTGCGCCGCCTCCCGCTCTTCCTCGGTCGTTTTTTTGTGTTTCTCTCTCTCTCTCTCTATTATCTCTCTCCCTCTCTTGTTTGTTCTCGATCTCTGTTTCTCTCTCTCTCTCTCAATTCCTCGTTCTCTCTCTCTCTCTCTCTCTTTTTATGGTATGTCTCTCTATCTCTCCCTCTCTCTCTCGTCGTTGAATATCTCTACAG